ACACTTTAGCAAATTTTATTGTCATTCGGTTAGCCTTGATTTATGTCACTGATGAATAGTTAATGTAACCGGTCAAGTACTAAGAGGACCTATTTTGTGCAAAGAATATTATTTTGATACTAGTTGTACCCGCGAATTCGTTCGTATAGAATAATTTTTAGTAATTTGTTATCATACTTTGCTATTTGAATCGGATTTTGTTTACAATATTTTAATTTGTTTGCACGGAATCCTAACTCTTTTTCTAAAATAAAAGAAGTTAAAGTTACTAGTTATAACATCAGTTATCTGACAGTGAAAGTCCAGTCCAGAAAAACATTTTTTGTGTAATGTTTGTCTGGCGAACTGATTAAATATCACGTATAAAACCGATGATGGACTTATTTGAGATTATATCATCTGGCAGACCTAATAGTACAATCTTTACATTCTATAAGAAGTCCACTCCTGAACATAGGCCTCCTCGAGAAATGGCCTCATTGCCTATATTTGACATAGTTGCCACGCTTGACGGGCTGGTTAGCAACCACAGTTTTACCTCTTGGGGGATTGTTGCCATAGTTGCCACATATTTTTTTTATATAAACAAATGTGGTAAATAATAAGCTGTATCATCTATGTACTTACACAATTTATGTCCTGTGTCATCAACCTCCACTATAATTGACATTTACACAAAAAATTTACATTCATACTTAAATTATCTTATTTACATCATAACGCCAGTATATTATTCTAAGTCTATACTAACTGTGTATTATGTATCTATTTATCATACAATTTACTATCATTCGAAGATGTGTAACTTCTTTTTGTGTGCAGTTAAATTGTAACAAAACAATAATGATAATCCAAGTGTTTGGGGTCGTCACGCTATAACCACAGAATAATAATAATAATAGTACTACATACCGACTACACAGGTTTTCCTAGTACAGGTTCCACTCTCTCACAATGGCCAGTTGTTAGTAAAATAGGTGTAGTAGTAGATTTAGTCAATACTCTGTCATATGCCAATATGATTTCGAACGTGGTAGAGCCACGCTGCAATTATATTATGGTTGTAGCATGTATGGATCGGCTCGACCGGGGAAGGACGACGCTCTCACAGAATACCAACGTAAAATAGCAGCATAATGCAACTGTGTTTCGTATGGTGAGTGTAGAGAAACGGAGACTCGTTTTACTGGAATAGAGGCATTCCATCTTAGTCCTCAAGGGTGACAACGCATCTGCATTTTGATTCTTATTCGAGGTTAAATGTAGATGTCTATGGGCCACAGCATCCACTTACCATCAGGTGGACTGTGTGCTCGTTTGTCACCCTATCCTATAAAAAATAAGCGGTTATTTTTTATTATATATATATATATATATATATATATATATATATATATATATATATATATATATATATATATATATATATATATATTTTTATATATATATATATATATATATAATATAAAATAGAATATGGGATATGAAAATGTTAGTTTTCGATATTTTTTTTTCAGATTTTTATTACTGCTTCCATCTTTTTTTTAAAGTCTATGGATCGGTTTCCGGAACATGTTCGAAAAAAACAACAAAATTGAATAGGTATACAGCGAAACTATAACCTTTTTCTGTATGAAATTGTTTACAGTTCTCCATGAACTGCAGTCGTACTGCTCTGGTGGACGGTAGTTAGTTTCTCATATTCATATTAGAAAAGAAACACTGTTCCAAAAATTTGGATCCCTATATTGTACAGAGAAGGAATTTTTAAAAATTTTAGAGTTATCTGCTTTTTTTTAAACCGGACATGTCCGAGTAGAATTCACGCCCAGAAGTGCCGTATGAACTTATTTACTTATCTACTTTCATCAAAATAATAAAGAGATAAAAGGAAAAGAAATGCTTTACTTTATTATATCGGTCTACAATCTTTTATTTATATATGAGAGGGAACAACGGGAGAGCCGCATACACCTGATGGTAAGAGACTACCGACGCCTATCAACAAGTCTACTGCTGAACATAGGCCTCCCCCAAAGTATGCCACATAGCACGGTTCTGAGCCATCTGCACCTATCGACTTCCTGCATGTCTTAAGTAGTAGTGTGCCTTGAAATTGAGGAGATACGACAAAGAGGTTCTTTTTAGCCGTGTAACGGGCAAACTTGTGTCTTCTGGTGATGGAACTGGACTAGATTTAGCTGTCTCCAATCCGAGGCTTTGTTCATCTTTAACAAAAGACTCGACTTCAGACACCAGTTTACTCCGGCCCTCGACGACGTGTTCACGAGAAATATTAGCACAGCCGGTGTACAAGGCATCGCGAGTGCTATCATCTGCATAACAAAGAACGTTACTGGTTTGTAACACATCGTTGATATACAGAAAGAACAGGGAAGAGATAGCATGCGGCCTTCTAGAACACCAGCATTCACAGCCTTGGATACGTAGCATGCACCGTCGATTACAACTTCAAGGGGATTACATCGCTCAAATTCCAAAAACATCCTATGTTTAAAGAAGTTTGTATGTGAATCTCTTTGTGCCTGTGCCCCATAAAAAATATATGTTTAACTTAAGATAATCACAAATAAATTGTATTATTTAAATTTTAATAAAAATGTCCAAACTTTGGAAAACATTTGAAATAAATAGGCCCTTTTTTAAGATAAATTGTAAATTGTCTCAATAACGGCTTAATAGTTCGGCATGTATTATATACCAAAATCATCGCAATGACGCATTTAACAATTTCTATTGTTTTTTTTTTAAATTTATTTACCATTTTTGAATAATAAAGTAATACCCAAAATTACACTAGCACCCCGCGACAAGCACCCCCGCAAGACTCTACTCGGGACGCAATACATAAGTCTCTCGAAATCCTCAAGGTCATTGGGCAATGTAATACTCTTAATGCTCTGATCTGAGAGAAAACTGGTTACCCAATTGTATAATTTCTTGGGAATCCCATAAGAAGGAAACTTCGAAAGAAGCGTTTTGTGCTAAACCCGATCGAAGGCTTTCGCTATGTCTAAACTAACCACCAAGGGGGAGGCCCTTGGACTCGACTGCCTGCGTCCATTGGTGTGTTAGGTAAATCAGAAGATCACCAGCTGAGTGACCCCGACGTAAACCATACTGGCTACTACTTCACATTCGGACCATCAAACTACAAACATAAGTTTGTAATAAAAAAATTTGATGTAACTATTAATTAACGATTTTCAGATAAATTTTTACTGTAGTTGTGTAGGAAGACCTTGCGTCTTACCATCTGAGAATTAACGAGAAGTACCCTATAACAGCTATAGGGTACAGGTTTTGATGAGTGAGTTTGCAAATATTAAACATACGTGACATAAATGGTCCTTTGATGGCGTTGACTGAGAAGCTTGATTTTTTTTACACCTACATGAGACCATATTAATTTTTAATTGATACCCCTTCTGATAAAAAGAGCCTTGACATTCTTATGATATCTTAGATGGACGAACGGACAACAGTGATTCTATAAGGTTTCTCTTTTATTCTTTTAAGGTACGTAACCCTTTAAATGATGATAGATGAGAACATAAATTAAGCCATAAGATATCAACTAGTGACAAACAATCTGTTCCGTCTTGTTTCGTGGACGCCCATACAGTAGTTACACATAGTGCAACTATATCATGAATGCTAGATGTATGACAGACATTTTAGTGACGGATAAAATAGCCAAAGATGCGATACATCTGGTACAGTCCGTCTGCAAGGCGTGTTGAGCATGATTAATATTTCCTCAGAGCACTTCGGAGTTTAGTTCTTGGAGTTAATCGGCAATTAAGAAATTACAGATGCTGATTTTACCTACCATTTTTTTCCTGCGAAGTGACTTCTACTGCTAAAGATACCAAGATATGATAAATTAAAACCAATAAAGATTTTTGAAAATACACATTTATTTCACTTTATAACTTTTACTTACAAGCGTTATGGCAGTCAGAGACAAGTGTGACAATTTTGCAATATTTTAATATACTAAAGACAATGCTCAATAGTTGTATTTATACCGCTCTTACCGCGTTATTGGAAACATAATTTTATTAAGGTCTGAGATGTGTGGCATTTTAGTTTACGTTGATCACCACAACGAAGTAGAGTAAGAGTTTGTAAAAAATGCAGGTCGTGAGGGGCCATTTTATATATTATTAGTATGCGGGATTACAATAGCTTTTATAGGACTGTCTTGATGAATCCAGGATGATTGGCCACCTAGTCAATTATCGTTATTTACATTCAATTTTTTTTTAATATCAGTGCCATAGGATTCTACCCCGTTCACATGTTACACCCTATTCTTTTCCAGACGGTAAAAAAGGTCATATATAGCATAATATTTTTTTATAATATTATACGTAATATTTTAGAGCCGTGGTAGCTCAGATGGTAAGCGCTCGTTGTAAATTTCACAGTATGCGAGCAACCAGGGTTGTATCCCTGCCGGCAGCAATGAGATTGTTAATTGTAATTTTATGTGCTATTTACCATGTACTCGGCGTTGAAAGAAAACATTGTGAGAAAACCTGCATGAAATAAGAAAAAAAAATATTTTCGAAGACATGTGAAGTTCGCCAACACGCATTGGGGCCTCGCGGCAGCACCTCCTTGCCCTAAAAACCCTTTCAGAAATGAGAGGAGGCCTGTGGCCAGCTGTGGGGCGTATACCTATAGGCTGTAACTTTAACTTTTAACTAACTTCTTGAAACTTGTTTAAAAATATTGAAACGTATTTGTTTAATCTGTAGTTAATAAAAATGTCGGTTTATTCGTGGATAACCTTGAAACGACTTATTGCAAAGATTTCCGATGTTAAATATTACAAAAAATACTTGCACAAATCTGTGCACATGTCTAGAACCGTCTTCAAGTAACAAACACAGGGGTTATTTATAAAGTGCAATCTTTATAAGTGAACTTAAATTTGTGAAGTATAAATTATTACAAATTTATTATACAATTTATTTTGATTTACGTCTATGTCCCTTGTATAATTCTCTAATAAAAAATATAAATGATAAAATCCATCCTCCAATAAGAACAGCATAGCAACCTGTAAAATGTGCTAAATTAATTGCTTTCTTCTGATGCCCTGACTTCTTAATAAAATATGATTTCGTGTAAATGTTATAAATCTTGGAAACAAAACCAGTTTCGACCAACTGCGTCAAAATAGCGTTGATTGCTTCAGTCAGAGGAGAATATTTCTTAAAAAATAGTACTGTAGGACTGCTGATTACTTTTTGTGGTAGAATATGCAAATCCTTGCTTTGATTTCTTTGGAATAATTTAGTAGTCTCTAAATTTACTGCAGTTATTCTCTTTGCACCTTCGGACATGTTCATCAATGCTGAAAAAATTTCATTACTTTCGAAGTTAATCCAACGATTATAAATTTCTGGCTCGTCAATGAAATAGTCTTTAAGTGCAAGTCCTCCGCCTATTCCGTAATTAGCTGCAAGTGCGTCGTCTATTTTTTGTATATCTGAAGAGTATACGTTCGTTTTTAGGGCTTTAATAAGAAACACTGTATAAAATGTTCTGATTAAAAAACAGTACCAAATCCAAAACATAGCTAAATATAAAAATGCAGACTTTGTTGGTAGTTTTGTTGATGGCAACCCCATGCAAAGTTCCCAAGAATAAAATACGAGGCTTCGGCGAGGAAGTGAAATATTAATGGCCTTAAACATTGAATTCCAACATTTCCTTTTAATAAGCACAGCTAAAATAACAACTAATAAAAAGGAAAGTGCCAAAGTTATTCGAACTTCGATTTCAAATGGACGAATTAATTTTAACGAAGGAGACTCCATAGCAGAAGGATGTGTCACCCATACTACACTCACCGTATTGTAGTCCACTGACATATGGAAGTGAGAGAACCGACTAAGTGTTATACTTGCCGATGTCATCGAGAAGTTTGCTAAATCGTAATACACGTCAGCAAGTGACCCTGACCAAGTTCCATCCTCTTCGAGCTTGCCCCAGCCAATTCCCCTCTGCGGAGTCATCAATTGAAGACTTGCATTCAATTTTTCTGCTATGAGACGAAGTAAATCTCCGTCAGTACCTGAAGGAACTCCGTTATTTATCATCATGTAGGGCGTTTGTGCAAAAGTAGAAACTATTATTGGACAAGATTGTAATTGTCTTAACTTTAAGGGAAACATTTCTAAACAATTTTTCCTATGGTCAATATCGATACAAGAGAACCAATTGTCTAATTTCACTGGCCGTACCTCTTCACAGTCGTAGCGTTTGTCAAAATATGTATATGCCATCGATTCAGTGGCTATTATTCCAGTTTTAAGAAAGACAACGTTTATAATTTTGTAATTCCACAACATTTCAACACCTTCTGATTCATCGCAATGTTCTTTGGATACACAAACAACTACATATTTACCAGTGTTGTCGAATTGATGTTTTTGCATCCATTCCAACATTAGGCCAATATTTTGAATATCAGTTCCGAACAGTACGTATTGATGTGTATTAACTGAAAATTGTGGATAAAAAGCACCATAACCTACGATTACACTTTTTCCATATGCTTTCGAGAAAAAGTCAATTCCACATAACATGCTCGTGTTAAAAAACACAAAAGTAATAAACCTCCACTCGAATTTATGAAGCGCTATTAGTGCAGCACTTTTCGCTAAATTCTCAACAACTGAAAGGTCTTTAGATATTAATAAACTATAATCTATTTGTTCAATAACCGCCATGACGACCGTGGTAAGTGAAAGCGATTGAATATGTAGCTGATGCCTTTGAATCGCTGACATAATCTCAGGTGAAAATCAAACGTAATGGTGCAAATGGATCACACAATGAATGATAATTGCCTTGTAAAGTAATGAACGCTAATAGTTTATATTTATAAAATTGATTCTTTCACGAATAACGTAACCTAATGTCTGTCTATGTTTTTTTTAATTCCTTATATATGAACATAGGCTTCTTCCAGATTGCCTCATAGAGGGAATATTTTCCGTAGTTGCCACGCTTGGAAACAGCAGCTGTTATCATTTAGAGCTGTTATCAGGGAGATGCTCTGCCCGTATCCTTTTTAGTTTCCCTCTATCGCCTCTTACATCACCGACGAAATGATATGAGGTGGTGAATTCAAACTCACGCCACGACTACTCCTTGCAATTAAACTGCACTATATACTAGGTGTTAGGACTCCTTTTCTGGTTAGGAGTCCCTTTGTGTAGGTACCACTCTCTTATCTTTTCATGCCGCCAAATAGCAGTGGCTGCACAGAAATCGTAGAAGACAATAAAAGTCGCATAGACGCGTGACCTTGTCGCCGCTATTATGTGTTTACGAACATAATTCACTATTTTGTGATTTAGTTGTGCGGGGAACGTCGTATGTGAATTTGTTATTATACTTAATGGTAAAGTATAATAGTAAAAAAAGTAGTAAAATCTCATCAAAGACGAGTAATTCAACTAATAAAGACATAAAGTTTCATAGGTAACTTGATTATTTACTAATTATCATTGTTTTAACTAATTTACATCTACATGAATACCTAAATGATACCTGAATGATAATGAACCTATATGATATTTACCTTTGTAAACTTTCATGTCTTACTTTTTGTATTGACAATTACCTTTGCTGCTCTTATTCTACCGTAATACGCGACGCACGCGACGTTGACAAACTCGCCAAGCAATGTAATGTGAAACATTAGATATCATTGTGCATTGTTTATAATACGGCTGTAGGTGGCGACATCGGTTTTGGAAGTAATCGAGCGCTAATTCATTTCTATTGTCGTATTATTGCTATTTCTGTGAGTGGCTACATTCCTGTGTCCCATTTAAAGGGTCAAGAGCTTATATACGAGGGTGGATTGAAAAGTACTCGGCCTAACCAAGAAAATAAACACATACTAAATCAGTTATATTTTTATTTTTCTACATAATCACCATCAAGTTCAATACACTTTTGCCACCTCCCCTTCCAAGCATTTAGACCGTTGAAAAAAAATGATTCTTCCTTAGAGTCAAAATATGCGTCTACAGCTGCTTTGACCTCGTCGTTTGTCGAAAATCTTTGACCTCCCAAGTGCTTTTTTAGGTTAGGGAACAGAAAAAAGTCTGATGGTGCCAGATCAGGTGAATATGGCGGATGCGGTAACAGTTCAAAGCCACAGTTGTGAATTTCAGCCATTGACTGTACTGACGTGTGAACACGGGCGTTATCTTGATGAAACAGGACTTTTCTTCTGAGCATTCCTCGACGTTTTTCTTTTATTTCCTCTCGTAAACGACGTATTAAGGTGCAGTAGTAATCAGAGTTTATAGTCTGACCCCTTTCAAGATAATCAATCATAATCACACCTTTCGAGTCCCAGAATACTGAAGCCATCACCTTATTTGCCGACAAAATCGACTTAGCCTTTTTAGGGGGTGGTGAACCAGGTCTTCTCCACTGTTTTGATTGTTGTTTTGTTTCCGGTGTACAGTAATGAACCCATGTTTCGTCCATAGTAACAAAACGATTCAAAAAATCATCTGCATCGGCTTCAAATAACTCCAAACAGTCGCGTGAAATAGTCAATCGCGTCCTTTTTTGTTCAACTGAAAGCAGTCGCGGAACCCACCTCGCAGACACCTTGTGGAAACCCAACTCGTTGACAATGATGTTTTGAGTTCGTTCATAAGAGATGCCTATAATCTCGGCTATCTCTAATTTTTAATCTGCGGTCTCCCATTATTAAATCAAGTACTTTTTTAATATTTTCGTCAGTAGTTGACGTCGAAGGCCTTCCAGAGCGGGGTTCATCTTTCACACTCTCTCTACCACGCTTAAATTCTGCTATCCATTTTTTGACAGATGAATATGACAGAGCACAATCGCCTAATGTACTGACCATGTCATCATGGATGGCTTTTGATGATAGCCCCTTCTTATGGAGGTACTTAATGACGGCACGCTGCTCGATTTGCTCCATTCGCGGAAATTATGTCCGATTACTTTGTTAATAAATTTATAAAATCACAACTAATTATCGCACACGTTTCGAACTTCACACAATGAACTAGTCTGAACTGAACTAAATAATGTGGGTAGATTTGATTTTTAGAATTGAATGGATCTGTGTTAGGCCGAGTACTTTTCAATCCACCTATTAATTACAAGTTGTGATGCATTCCATCTTAGTCCTCAGAGGTGGCAAAGCGTCTGTAGCGGCCTTCTTTGTTTGAATATGAGTGCAGGTGTCCACGGACTGGAGTTGCCACTTGCCTACCAGACTGTTAGTCTGTTTTTTTAAAAATTCTTTTAAACCGTGGTATTTATCTCAGGGGCACGCGAGCAAGCGGTTATCGATCCCAACCAGCACCGACGAATAGTTAATTGCAATTTTTATGAAGGTACTGATTTACCATAATGTGATGAAGAAAACCATCGTGCAGAAACCTATACCTATTTATAACAATTTAAATCCGGATTACATTACGAAATTAGTGATATGAAACTAGTTACATGACATTATTTTCAACTTATTTCTTTTTGCATGCGTTCATTTCAGGTAACTAAAATAGTTTCGAGTTCTGCGCGATTTCGTGATGAAACTAATGTTGCGCCACTAGTTTCATCGTGTATGACGCGAATATAGGAAAATGCAGAGCAGTCACTTTTTGGACGTGTAGGTTTTTGTCGTTGAGCGGGTTTAACCACATCGCAATGGCAAACCAACGTTGGACAGTCAATAATAATATAAACTTTATTAATAAATACCAGCGAAATAAGTGCCTATATATGTATAAATATCTCTAGAATATGAGTGTCTATGATCTGGCAGTGTGCTTTGCAAAATAAAGCTCTGCTGACGGGGCCATGATCTCAACGATACTGTGTGTTTCAAGACCTTATACTACTTAATAGTACTACTAGTAACAGGTACTTAATACAATAGCTACCCTAGCTACTTGCAATAAAATTGGGAAACACGACATCGTCTGTTGCACTTTCGCTTTATGATCTTAAACACCTTCCCTTCAACCCATCACAAGGCTAATAGGAACCTAGGAATTTCACAAAATACCGCAAAATATGACACAAAACCACCTCGATGTAACTATCAATTCACACTGCCTCTGAGGTCGTCACGCCATCTAGTAAAATCTACAGTCCTTCGATTCGTGCTCGCGGTTTTCGGTTCCACGAACTGGTTCAGCCTATTAACCCATTTACTTACTCCACTGCTACCACCCCGAACTTAAGTAGTCTGTGCCGGTACAAAGACCAGTCTCGAAGACTCTTTATATCGTCGTGAATATTCTTCGTACAACAGGCATTGAAAGACCACTTTTCAAATCCGTAAGTCATCTACCAATACGTTTTGTTGTCGTTTGTGGTAACGTTGGTAATATAATGTTTTTTTTATAGAGGAGGGGGCAAACGAGCATGCGGCTCACCTGGTGTTAAGTGACTACCGCCGCCCATGATCAACCGCAACACCAGGGAAATTGCAGGTGCGTTGCCGGCCCTTTAGAAAGGAGTACGCTCTTTTCTTGAAGGTCCCCAGGTCGTATCGCTATATCGCTGGTGGTAAACTATTCCACAGAGAGGTTGTACGCGGAAGAAAACTCCTCTTGAAACGTACAGTGGTGGACCGCCAAGCATCCAGATGATGTGGATGGTATCGCGACGTTTGCCGCGTAGTGCGTTCACGAAATTTGGCGGCTGGGATTAATCCGAACAATTCATCAGAGCACTCTCCATGGTATATGCGAAAGAAAATGCAAAGAGATGCAACATCTCTTCGCAGTGCCAGTGAATAGAGCCGATCGGAAAACACTCGGTCGTCGACGATTCGAGCCGCTCTGTGCTGGATGCGGTCAAGTGGAAGGAGCTGGTACTGGGGAGCCCCAGCCCAGAGATGGGAATAGTATTCCATGTGCGGCCGAACCTGCGCCTTGTAAAGTTGCAGGCGGTGTGCCGGCATGAAATACTGTCCCGCTCTGCTGAGCACGCCAAGCTTTTTAGAGGCCAATTGGGCCTTCTCTTCCAAGTGACCACGAAACTGCACGTCACTCGATATGTCGACGCCAAGGATTCCGATACTGGCTGAGGCAACAAGGGGGAGTGCCTTGAAACTGAGGAGATACGACAAAGGGGTTCTTTTTAGCGGTTAACGCGCAAACTTGTGTCTTCTGGGGGTTAAACTGGACTAGATTTAGTCGCCCCCAATCCGAGACTCTGTTCAGCAAAGACTCGACTTCAGACACAAGTTTGTCCCGGCACTCGGAGACGTTTTCCCGAGAAATATTGGCTCGGCCGGTGTAAAGAGCATCACCAGTGCTGTCATCTGCATTGCAATGAATGTTACGGGTTTGCAACATATCATTGATATGCAGAAGAAACAGCGTTGGTGATAGCACGCAGCCTTGTGGAACACCAGCATTAATAGGCTTGCAATCGGAGCTTGCACCGTCTACAACGACCTTGATGCCCCGATCTGCAAGAAAGCTGGAGATCCAATCGCACAATTTCTCGGGAAGCCCATAGGAAGGGAGCTTCGAAAGAAGCGCTTTGTGCCAAACCCGATCGAAGGCCT